CCCCCTGTCTCTCTTCCCCTCTCTTGCCCTATCCTGCCCTTCCATTCAGTGGAGTTGCTGCTTCCAATCTGACAACGTTAATTTGATTTGAAATGTCACTGACATAGTATAACATTGACCTTTCCTAATCAGTGTCCCCTAGCTTCTATTGCTGAAGCTGTTTCACTTCAAACGTGATGTACACCAGACTAAATGAAAGAACTCGCAGGCAGAATATTTGAAATCAAACTAATTATATTTAAATTATAGATTAACAATTAGCTGGGAGTCCTCGAACAATGTATATAGATAACCAAGTTATGCTCTGGTGTTAAAATGAATCTGAGATATTAAATACAATCATACAGCTTTTGGCAATATTGTACAAGTTCCACACAGGGGGTAATGACTAACATTGCTTTAGATAAGTGCTTTGAAGGCAAACCTGTTTAAGAATGAAGAGAGCAATACAGTCCTGCACCCCATGTCAGCGTAGCGGTCATGTTTACAAACATATCTGATGTCCTGGGTGTTGCAAATAAACAGCATTCCATCCTCCAAAGGGTGTCTGTCTCATAATCCCTGAGGCTGTGGCTGGTCGATAATGATGATGATGGGGAACAAAGAATTGGGTTATGGATTGGCCCTGTCCTTCAGCGGATTTGTAGAATAGATTTTAATTGCAGCGAAGCTCAGAAAAAGCACAGAGAATGGAAAACCAAAACAATTCCCGTGTCTGGTCAGTTATGCCCATGAGCCCTATGATCCTCTGGATAGAGTAACAATTCTTTAAAAGATCTCGAGTTAACTTCAGTTACAATATTATTTTTTTCTCTTCTTTATCCAGAACCCATGCATTAATCTTCTTCCTCTTTTACTGCTTCATACCCTTGCCTTTCTCACAATTGCATCTTTCCAAAATATGAATACGATACCTCATTCTCTTTTCCTCCTGCTATTCCATATTTAATGTGTCCTCTGCTTTCTTATTCTTACTCCAGAAGTGCAGAAAATGCATTGCTTACGTACATCAAACCTTGCTCTTCCAGAACTCTGGAAATAATCTCTAGTCGTTTCAAGAGCTTCTCTTTTCCACTGAGAAGAAACACAATTTACTCAAAACCCTGTCATTCCTGCCACATTTTGTCATACCCTGGATAAAGCGGGAATTTCCTCCTCCTGCTGTTTCCGTGGGGGCCCTTAAAAGAAAAGATTTGTATAGCTAAAAGGACATTTTCCATAGTTCTTCCTTTTGCTAATATGAAGTAATAGCTTTGTTATTGCTTTCTAATTAGAGGACTTGGTATAAGATAATGGAAATAATCTTTATACTGTGGTACATAAAACTAAGAAGAGAGTGATTAGACTGTAAAGTGACTACTAAATCAACCTTGAAAATAGAGCAGATCTCCACCTGCCTTTGACATGCGAGTTCCCTTTGGGCCACTGACGGCTATCGGCACACTGCACGACAGAGGGGGAGCCCCTCCATTCAGTTTGCAGGGCTTGGCTTCTGTCGGGAAGACAACACTACAGACACCCGTGTAAATGGTAGAGCACCACCAACACATGTTTTGTGATATAACACAAACTCACACATTTTTCTAAAGCTGAGTGAATACATACTGCGTTGTCTCTTGTCCAGTAAGGACAGTTTGGTGTGTTTTTACTAATTGATCCCTTATGCCGATTGCTTTAAGTCTAGCAAAGGGACATCATCACCTCCTCCTCCTTCTTTTCCTTCCTGCTTAAGAATGACTTCTGGGATTGTCGCTCCTTTTTCAGTTGACTGGGAAGCACCTTTTGTTGCACTATTCTTGTCTTTCTTTACCTTAGTGATCACTTCTGTGTAAGAGATTTCTTCAGTGAAGGGCTCTGCTGCTGCGAGCTCAGAGGCGATGTGCACATCGGCTTCCTGGATCCCCTCCTGACCTTCGGCTCCCGTTCGTTCTTTATTTTTTTTATGGATCTTGAATGTCTCCTTTGTTGGGGCAGCTTGTGAAATGGTTTTCTTGATCCTTATCCCAGATTGTTTCAGTCTCTCTCCTGACTGCCTGATCCTCTCTCTCCTCTCAGGGGTCACTATTCTTGTTCGAAGCCTATTTACCTTCTTGCCAAAATTTTGTCTTGTCTTTTGGATATTTTCCCTTGAAAATGCCTTTTTGATGTCATCTATGCGCCTCATGCCTGATTTCTTGAACTGGGTTGCTTTGCTTTCTTCGATGTAATATTCTTCATCAGAAGACAGATCATCAGGTGGGAAGAAATCATCCTCTAGAGTTTCACCTGCTGTCCTTTCTTTGATAACAGAGAGAGACGAAGGACACTCGGTTTCCTCCTGCAAACGAAAGCACAGAGTCATCTAGCAAATGTGTTTTAAAAGGATGGCGATTCAAGAATTTTGTTTGTTGGCTCATAGTTAATTAATGCTAACTGAAATACAAGACTGTAACAAAGTAAGGTAGGCTTGTACCATTGTATGTGATCTACACAGAACACAAACGGCAGACGAAATCTTTGCCAGGTTCTGTAAAGACTTTATGCCTGATTACAGATTTCTTTTCAGTGTGGTTCTACCATGAATGCCATGGTCCTATGTGTACTAGCTTCTAATGGTTTTCAGAGCAGATTTGTCTAGTTCATATTTTTTTTTTTTCTTAACTGCTTCTCTGAGATTGGACCTAGATCCATTATTCCTCACCATAAAAGTAGGCATCCTGTACACAAAAGAGGCTCTTGTGCTTGTGCCAGCTGTATGTTCCTCAAATGAGTGCCTCCATGATACCAGTACCATCAGTCCTTTACTGCCACCAAGACAATTCACGTTTTTGACGCCCTGGAACTTAGCAAACATTTCTGTTGCTGCCCAGAAGGGCATGAACGCCAACATATTAACTTACATGTGCTGGCTCCACAAGGCGACAAAGTCAGCTAAAGAATGAGGTGTTATTCAGTAAACCCAGTTCCATACAATTCACTCAGCACCTGCACCATTGCTGAGGTGAACTTGACTTATTCCATCTGGAAACATGAATGACCCCGAGCAAGCACCTCTATCTCCTGTAGTGAATTTGGTGGCCAGTATGAGCATGCAATATTACATATTTATATTATACATATATATTAGCTGCATGCTTGGTCATGGTGACTATCCTAGATATCTTAGCACTAGGAATTTATGTAGCCTCTCCAAAGAAAGACTGCTAGAGGCTCAAAGCTCAAAGACACAGAAGATTTCCAAAAGCTGTCCACAGTAAACAAATAATTTACCAAGAATCACTTAGTGGTTAAGGACGTGCAAAAAAAGGAAAAAAGCTTGTGGTAATAGAATGATTTATCTGAACAGGGAGAATCTCCTAAGAGAGTTGATCCCCTGATCTGAAGACTGCTGTCTGCATGGACTTCACAAATTTGCGGCTCAGTGTCAGCAAAGTCACTTCTATCTAGAAGTACTGGTGTGTGCAGAGTAGAAAACTCGTAACTTGTAGGAGGTGTATGAGACGGACAATGCCAGCCCCTTCTTCCCTACTAGCTGTTTATGTGCATGTGCATGTGCTCTTCTCCCAGGAGGAGCAGCCCTTTGGGGTGCAGACAGGTACAACAGCTATGTAAAACTTCTCTAAGCTGTTTCCCATTAGTACTACTTCAGCTGATTTCTGAGGCATGACAGTGTCTGGGTTCTTCCCTAAGTAGTATTATCTTAATGCAGACAACAGGAGAGATATTAGAAGCTGTGAACCCATGAAGAATAGGTCAGGCTTACTGAATATTTTGTTATGAACTGATTTCTGGCCAAAAAGATGTCATTTTTCAGTGACTCATTAGTAGCAAGTTATGTTTAATGTTATTTTACAGAGTACTAGCAATACATAAACTAAAATACATTAAGCTGTTCGGCAGATAAAGCCCATTTAAGAGTCTGTCATCACGGCTTGACTTCATTAAAAACCCTCTAGTAACATAGCTGTTAATGCTTGGGAAAAATAGGGACAAATTATGTTGCATTGATTACAGCAGAATGTTATTCAACTCATTTGTCAAAAT